GTTATTCAACACTATTTCTAACGCTATTTAATCACGAAATTAGGCTTTGCTTTCACTTTTGACGTTAGTTTTGAGGCTTTGGTTTCCAAAAGGAACTGACTTTGCGCTCAACTCTCCTATCGCTGTCAAGCTATTCACGTAACCATACATTCAATGATTACACACTTATTGTATCATTGATTGCATCACTCGCTCGTCGAAATACCTCACAGATCCGTCATCTCATCCCATCGTCTCATCCCTTGCTTTCCGATGGATTATCTCAAACAAAAAGTAGACAATTTGAAAATCATTGTCTTTGACTTAGGTATCAATGCATGGCTTAACGCCATAATCGTGTTAATCATATATTGATTGTAATATTGATTGTATGGTTTAATTGTGCAGATTATACTCTTTGGCCATTTTGGGTCGACACACACCCCACGCCTCCCTTTCGGCACAAGTGAGTCATTCATCTAATCATTTAATTATTAATTATAGTTTAAATGCTATGCTTTGCCTGAATAGTAATTTTTTGCGATAATTTGACAGAATTTTGAATTATTAGTTAATAATAATATTCATAAGAATCGGTATATTATTGAATGGATTTATGAAATTGAATGCATTTTTCGCTCCGAGAAATGAAAATTGAATTATATTTCATGTGTTTTTGTTTCAAATAAATCGCATTTTGGTTTTGAAACGATTATAAAGCGAAAGACATAATGAAATATCAGAGGAAAAAATTGATTGCTATCATATAACTTGAATTACAGTGAACATTCCATATAGTGGTCGAGCAGTTGGTATACATTTTTGGACACTGTATAGAATGTTCACTCTATAGAATGCATGCGGAATAGTAGTGAAAATAAGTGTATATATTGTTAATACTAAAATAATCATTTATTTAGATTGTTTAATGTTATCGAGATAATAATTTCATATTTGTTTATCAATTTAAATATAACTTGTTCATTTAAAATAATTACAAGACAAAAAATAGTTGTCTCATACCATAAAACACTATAAAGAGCGTAAAAATAGTAAAATATAAGCAAAATTAGCAAAATTTTGGCCACTATATAGAATTTACACTGTATAGAGAGTCACTATATGGAGCGGAAATAACATTATAGGTATACAGTGGCCGCCAAACTAAAATATTTTGGACACTATATGGAAAATACACTGTATAGAGCTTTACTATATGGAATGTTCACTGTATTTGTTTTGTAAATTTTTTGAGTGTCGTTAATGATGGGTGAGTGAGTTTCTAAGTTTGTAAGCGCGTGAGTGATCGTGACTGAAAAATTTGAAAATTTACGACTATACTTACACCACAGGTTGAACTGCCCTGATCATACTGTGAAGTAATCATGTTGTCATAAACATTACTGGACCTGTTTGGTTTCGGCAAAATCCTAACCCATCCCATTTGAAGCCAATCGGGGACAGCGGTGTCATTAACTTTACCGAAACCGGCGATCAAAGCGTACTCTTTGCGAGTGTTATAAATGTCTGCTTTCGGGAGACAAACGCTGTTTACCCGCCGATAGTGTGAGCCCTTCGGGGCCGTGAAGTCCAGCGCAGTGTTCAGTTCAATGAGTCCGATATCGTCTGATTTAAGTTTATATATTTCATAACCTGGATGCATTATAAGTCTCTTTGTTTGATAACCTTGACCCGGATTAGTTATATCTAAAATGTCCGGGTAAATGGTTATGGTGCAATTACGGCATCTGGATTAATTTTAATTAATTAATTAATATTAAATAATATTAATATTTCTAAACAGGCCTTGTACAGTATTACATACTTCAAACAGTGTGCGGCGGTTATTATCCACTTTTTGTTTAATATACTGCCCGTACATCTCTCACTTTGTCTTTATAGTACAGTATAGTAAATACTATTATAAAGCAACTTAATTTGTGCTTAAGTTCTACTACTTTAATTATAACATGTTGCGTAATATATAAAACATAGTACTGGAAATATTACTCTTTGACTTACTTATTTGTTGTATATGATCTGTTTATATAAACGTGCCAGGGTAACTCTCCAACTGTGGCCTGCCTACCATTGAATATACGACTCACTGTGTTCTCCATTTTATGAAATGGAAAGCAGTTGTTGTCCATCAGTAGTGAATCCCTGGATATCCCGCACTCATCGGTAGTAATGTTGGGATAATTAGCCATTTCTGCGTGAAATGCATTACTTGTCACCCGATATATGCCAAACACTACTATTGTTTAATTATTAAATATACGGAATTAATAATTTGTTTACTAACTTTATTGTTTTATTGTTTATTATTTTTTAAATTAATAATATAATGTGATATTTACCTATTAATTGGATGAAATATGTAGTCATGATGTATCAATAGTTGTTTTTATAATTGATTATATATCAGTGAATTGTTAAATAATTGTTAAATAATGTTTTATTTTTTATTAAGTTGTAATGTAAAACAATTGGCATAAACATTAAAACAATAAAATGAAATATTAAGTTGTAAAACAATAACTATACAGGTATTAGGAATCATATCCAATATTATAGTTAAACCCGATATATTTAAAAGTAAAATTACATGTAACCCGATTTATGCCAAACAGCAACTAATGGTGAGTGCGTTGAATCCGGCGATTGAGGCCGAGTGTCGGCAACTGGTGGCCGATGCGGGCCTTCGGGCGCCCGTCGGCGGCATATTTTGTTTGCCTCCGACTCCGGAGTCTAAAACCGACGCCACTGTCCGCCAATTGTGTCCACAATTGCGGTATTTTATGTTTTTTTTGGCGGCCGACAGAGAAATCAGTTCCGAGAGGCTCTGCGAACGGAGACGTGCGGACAGTTTGCCCGCTCTGGCCATACAGTGGTCGGCGGCGGCCAACGATCGGCGGCCGATCCGCTCGTGTCTGGAGGTATTGAATCACTTCTTGCGCGCCACCGATGAGACAGTGCTAAGCGTTACGCTGAAACCTCCGGAGCCAATGGGAACCATAGCCGCCGCCGATGGCCAGACATTGGCCGCTACGGCACCTGCCGGTAATGATAGGGATGTGGTGTCGGTTATCGCCGATATTTTAGGTATTTTTGTGTTTAGTTTTTTGTTGGTTTTATTACATGTATTAAAGATGTTTTTATCACTTTTTTGTGGTACAGGTGTTAAGGATGTGTCCAAAATGAACGCCTCGTCTAAACTGCCGGATCTGGGAATGGATTCACTAATGGTTGTGACCGTCAAACAGGCTCTGGAGGAACGGTTCTCAGTGTCTCTGGAGCTGAAACAACTCCAGACACTGACCATCGATGAGATGGTGGCGATTGTCCGCTCATAACACTTATATAATACTTTACAAAGAATTAATTCTTTACAAAAAATAAGAAAGTAATAATATTTTTAAAGTTGATTTTAAATCAATGATTTAGTAATAAAGTTATGTTTAATAAACCGATGAACTAAACATTTCTTGTATTTAAAGTTATGTTTAAATGTTTAGAAATTAGAATTGAGATTAAAGCATATTTGTGTATTAAACTACCATCATTAAAAAGTATAAATAGATACAAACTAAATATAACCAAATTACGTTTTATGTAATCTTTTATTGAAATATTTAATGATTTACAAAACACATAATTTGGCTATTTCAGATTACATACAACTACATTACCTGTTAGCACAGGTATGATCTTATAAAGGCCTGTTCAATCTTATAATTTAAAACATTTTTAGCATATAAGAATTCAATAATAATATGATAGATATGTTTTATCAATTGTTGGTAATTTGTTCAATAATCCAATCAATATGAATTGATGTTCGCACATAGTAGCCTAACTTGCAATAAACGCCATCGTGCACGATACCTATCACTACAGCCCTGCCATTTTGCCACTGTATTAAACCACCACCACTATCACCCTGTTTATATAACAATCAATGCATTAATGCAAATAATCAATAATTAATGCATTCGCTCTCTCTCTCTCTCTCTCTCTCTCCCATACAGTGTAATGCATATGAATGTTGAGAACTTATTCAACGAGGCGTACACTCTATGGCATACCTGTTGGGAAAAACGATGCAAAAAAGTTGACGTTAGGCTCTGAAGTATAGGATTGAGGATTGAGGTGAGGTTTGGTAGGTTTGGTAGGCTGTTATGTTGCAACAGGTGCAACAGGTAGGCTCAGGTAGGCTGTGTTGAGGCAGTTGTCGGGCATTTTAACATTGCTATAGCTCTGGGCTGTCATACAACTGGGGGACCGACTCTCAGGCAAGAGGTTAAGACTTAGTTTGGTTTTGGTTTAGTTGTTTTGGTGCACTTGTGGAGCACTTTTCACGTACTTCTCCGGCTCTCCTCTTACTATCTGTTGCTCTACTCGTGAGGTGTTTGTGTGTCTCTACTCTCTTGTTGTGTTGTCTGTCATTGTGTAACCAAATGGCAACTACAAGATATCTGGTGGTGGTATACGTGGTCACCGCAGGTCTTCACGAAGACGATCTCGGCTGTGATGAGGAGGAGACCGTTCTGTTGGCGTGGGTTGTGGTGGACATCACCAATTGCAAAGTGAGTCACCAATTCATTACAATCAAATACTATGAACCAATTTTATCTCCCATTCATTAAAACCTAACACCACTTCAGACAAAACAAACCACAAAAAAAACTTTCCCTAACTTTTGAGCCCAAAAAAACTTTCGAAACGCAATATTCAAACACTTGTCGTCTGAATTGAAATCTGTTTCAAAGTTTTCGTTTGTTATGAGATTGTAATCATAGGATGTGTGATAGGAGTGAGGAAATGGTCCATCAAAACAGATACCAGACATTCGGTGGCAACGATTGTCTCATAGTATGCCATAGTTTGGACGGACGGCTGTGTTGTGCGACAATCGGTGCCAATAGTAATAATAGAGTGCAATACTATTGCTGTGAATGTGAGGTGCAGTCCATCCCTAACTCATTATATCTATTGGACTCTCGCTTTTCCACTCATTATTATTATGACATTCAGTACTCTATTATGTATTCTACTCTCACTCTGAAGGACAGGATATTTATGAAACTCTCTCATCCTTTCTCCCAAATACTGTATACCTATTATCTCATCGCCACTTGTCGTACAACTCAATGGCCGTCCACTTCATTATAATTATATTATTTTTCATACATTTGTGTGAATGTATTTTCCACTGCAGAAAAAAGTGTTCATTCAGTTTACAAACATTAATATTATTAGAATTGAATGAATTAAAAATTAATTGAACAAAAAGGTAGCAATAATTTTATGTCTGAAACACAATTCACAAATCGTTTGACAATTTTCTGTTTTTCAAATGGCATTTGTTTTATACACAAAACAAAATAAATAATATATTTTATAACGAATTTATCAGTTTATATGCAATTGCAGTGCATTTCTCCCTATCTCTCTGACCTGACTGTGATTGAATAACCATGATAACACAATTAGTACAGTATAAACTACACCACAGCGTATAGTGTACTTTGTTTTTATGCGGTGCAGTCACACGGGGGCCGGGAGTGGGAAAGTTTGCCATTTTTCACAAAAACCTTATATTTTGGGCTCTTATATGCATACAAAAATGAGCAAGGGCAATATATTATTAGCGCAAGAATGTAAATCTATGGCAATATCTATTGCAATGTATGACATAACTAATGGCCACTTATTGTGTATAACGACCCGTCGGGGTATATATCATATAATTGGCTCGTTTTTCACCAAAACACGTAAAATCTAATGAATTTTCTCGCATTAATTCAATCTCTTTTCTCTGCCATTGAGTGGTTTGGGAATGAGTTTTATATAAAAATCTATTTCAATATTTTTTGTGCGAAGACTATTTCTGAATAATAATAAAATCTGATTATTATTAGCCATAAATGATATGCGAAACCATAAATCACTTATAAAAGGCAAAAGTTGTTGAGAAATATATGATCGTTATTGTGATTGAATTATTGTTTGTCAGACTTTGTTATCCAAAACAAACTTCAAGACCACTCAAGAAGTGCTTAAATGTCGTGGAATAGCCTTAAGGTAATTGCTATCTCTATCTCTACTCTAAGACTGCATTTTTTGTGCTTTTAAAATATTGGGTCGCTTTTCGATGAAATAGTGATCTGTTTTAAAGTTTTGCTTTCGATTAGCATTTTGTGAGCAAAAGTTAACTAAACGTTAGCTTTTGTTTCTCATTAAAGTCGTTAAAAAGATACGCAAGAATTTCAGACCAATTGCCTGACAATAAAGGCGACTCTCAAGAGAGCGATATTGTGGTCAAAAACACGACTTTTATATTTATTCGTCGAGTTATTCCGTCGACAAGAAAAAAGCATTTAAATAGTTTTGTGACCTGAGCTTAGAATCAGAAAAATATATTTATGTTTTAATATTTTCTCCTTATCTGTAAAGTAAGATAAGAATTACCTTAAGGTAAATAAGGTATAGATATAGTTATATTAATGCAAATAGCATTACATCAATGCACACAAAATCATACATACTTTGACTCTCCCTTCTCTCTCTCTCTCTCTCTCTCTCTCTCTCTCTCTCTCTCNCAAAACCCCCCAAAAATCCTGCTGAGTGTCCAGACCTTGGATGATATAATCGGTTGATTAATACCACTGTTGTGTTTCTCTCTCTTTCATTCTTACTCTGTTTCAATGTTTATCTGTATGTCGGCTGAGCTCTAATGCAAATGAGTTTTTTGTTAGAGAAAACGAAAATATCATAAAAACAAACTGCATAACAATCTCATGTAATTTAAAACAATTAATCTCTGTCTCTCCTCCTCTTCTCTCTCTCTCTCTCTCTCTCTCTCTCTTCGGTGTCCAAACATTCTTCTAATCCTCTCCTTATTTTTAGCATCACTTTAACGCCATAATTAAGGCTTACAATCAAACGATCATTATTTAATAAATAAGCGATATTTTCGACAATTACTCCAAACATAGCATTACATCGATTTTATAAATGACTTTTGAGTTTTTTTACAGAAACTATTTTTATAGCCAAACACAACATCTATTGAATGCTAATGAATGCCATCGAAATAAAGTCGAGAATTCAGTATAAACTTGAAGTAACACTTTATTCAATGAAGTTTTATCCGAAAGCAAATAGTTTTTTATCACTTGTCTTAAGTAATGACTTCTCGTTATGTCATTAAAGATATTTATAAAATAAAATCTCAAATTATTTGTGGCAAAAGTTCATTGATTTGTTGATAGAAAAAAGATATTAAAATTTTATTAACATTTAAATCAAACACTGTTTTGCATATATGAGATAGTTTTAGGCATTGAATTGATAGGCCGACAAAAAGTAACTAAAAGTAATAATAAATAATAATATGAGACTCACGATGATCTACCGGTGCAATTGTCAATCTCTTTGCGCTCACATAAACGCTTTTACTTAATGTCAAAGACCTAAACATAATTGTGAATTACATTTTCGCATTTCCTCTGCAAAAGATAGACATAAAATAGTTAAGCGCTGTATTGTATGCTATGTTATGCTATACAGGAGAGAAAGCAAGAAAAAAATTGGTGAATAAATTCTCGCCTAAACGCCAACAAACAAGTGATTTCTCTGAGACAACAGACAACTCGTTGCGAAAGCGATGAGATTTTTTGGGCCCAAAACTCTTGAATCTTTTAAGACTTCAAATAGAAATCCAATGTAAACACCGAAACAATAACTTCGCTATCATTAGAAGCGCTGTTCAAACAATCCTTTGTTTGAAAAGTTATCGAAGAGAAAAAGAAATACAATTTTTTTCTCTCTGTTCAAAGATTTCGATTCAAAGTTATGACTAATTTTTGCTCACAAATAAAATTAAAGGTGTTTTTTGCAGTTAATAGTTAATGAATAAAAAGCCCACGTTTTTCTCTCTGCCCAACGTTTAGCTCATAGGGTCTTACAGTATATGTAGTATAAGAATAACAAGACTCCGAGAGAAACACAACAGTGGATGAGATAGTTTTAGGCATTGAATTGATAGGCCGACAAAAAGTAACTAAAAGTAATAATAAATAATAATATGAGACTCACGATGATCTACCGGTGCAATTGTCAATCTCTTTGCGCTCACATAAACGCCAAACTTAATGTCAAAGACCTAAACATAATTGTGAATTACATTTTCGCATTTCCTCTGCAAAAGATAGACATAAAATTGTTAAGCGCTGTATTGTATGCTATGCTATACTGGAGAGAGAAAGCAAGAAAAAAATTGGTGAATAAATTCTCGCCTAAACGCCAACAAACAAGTGCTTTCTCTGAGACAACAGACAACTCGTTGCGAAAGCGATGAGATTTTTTTGGGCCCAAAACTCTTGAATCTCTTAAGACTTCAAATAGAAATCCAATGTAAACACCGAAACAATAACTTCGCTATCATTAGAAGCGCTGTTCAAACAATCCTTTGTTTGAAAAGTTATCGAAGAGAAAAAGAAATACAATTTTTTCTCTCTGTTCAGAGATTTCGATTCAAAGTTATGACTAATTTTTGCTCACAAATAAAATTAAAGGTATTTTTTGCAGTTAATAGTTAATGAATAAAAAGCCCACGTTTTTCTCTCTGCCCAACGTTTAGCTCATAGGGTCTTACAGTATATGTAGTATAAGAATAACAAGACTCCGAGAGAAACACAACAGTGGTATTAATCAACCGATTATATCATCCAAGGTCTGGACACTCAGCAGGATTTTTGGGGGGTTTTGCTAAATAAATAATGCTTTTTGCATTTTCCCAACCAATCAATTCACAATCAATAGACTTTCGTTTGTTATAAAGTGTTCATAAAAAACAGAATTTATCTCTTTTCCCATTTTCTATAGCCTTAAAAGTGGCCAAAAGTCATGTGTATTTGAACCTTCAAATCCATTATTTCGTTACTTATGTTCCCATCAAATACTCCTCTCTATTAATATCTGATTCAAAAGACTCGGTATTCTCACTGTTTTCACAAAAAATAGTGACAAAAATTTAAAGTGAAAAAACATATTATAGAATCCCTATCTCTGGTCTCGCTTTCCCTTTAAATGCATTTTTGTCGTGATATGAAAGACTGCTTTACGTTAAAAGGTTTTTACGTTAGATTTGATGGCAAATAGCGCTAATTTATTGGTTTGTTTTGCAATTTATGGTTCGCTCACATTTATTATATCAGATTTAAGCCAAAAACCAGAAAAACGATTACATTATTAGACATATTTTTTCTTTTGGCTAAACGATAAAAGTGTGTAATCAATGTATTGTATATGTATTACAGGTGGTGGCCGTCCATACGAGTGTCGTTAAGCCCCGTAGCGCTGATGTGAATGAGAACCTGCTGTCCGAAGTGGCCCGCAATCAGTACGGCCTCACAGAGGAGCTCATCAAAGATGGTCAGCCCCTCGAGAATGTGCTCGAAGAGGTAATCAAAGACTATTTTAAGCCAACATTTATTTCACAATTCCTGTAGTGTTCCTCAAAAAAGTAGTGAATCAGTAACTCTATCGCCGAAACTATTCATAAAACTTTCTTATCATTTAAAAATTTTCTCTCTTTTTTTAATTGAAAGTAATATTAAAAATAATCTTTATTTTTGTCTAAACTATTATTATTGTTGTTGTGAAACAAACAAAAATAATTGTTTTCCTGTCTTCCAGTATTGCATAACAATTGTATTGAGACTTTTTATTTAATACCTGTTCTGTTGACTCTATTTTCTCATATCATTTGAACATTAAGTCTGAATGGAAGAGAAGATTCACTTTTTTCTAATTATTCTTTTAGTCTGCACTCACTTTCAGTCTCCTCTCAATTGTTATTAAAGTTTGCCTTCACTTGACTTAACATTTTGGGAACGCTTTTACAGAACAGACTTATAGTTACTCTTCTCTCCTGTTTAAACGACTTCTCTCTCTCTCTCTCTCTCTCTCATACAGTGTAATGCATATGAATGTGTTGAGAACTCTCTCTCTCCCTTACCTGCCTTTCGTGACTGTTCTGCCTTAGCATAAATATTCAAACATAAATTTTAAAATGCTTTATCATTAAAAAAGTTTAACAAAATGTTGAAATTGTTTGACAGTTGGATCAGTTCGCAAAGGCGAAGCTGTCCAGTGAAACGGGCCGTTCCTTCCACGTGATCACTGACGGACAGTTACACCTGAGACAAGTGCTTCATCCCGAAGCCTCCAATAAAGGCATACAATTGCCTGAATATTTCAATACATTTTATGACTTACGCAAAGAATTCCGAAAGTTTTATCGAAATAATGACATTCAGACCATTGAAGACGCCATTAATTGTATGAAATATTTATTATTTATCATACAATGAGAGCATATTTTTTTGATAAATAATTTTTAATTTTTATTTTATTTATTCATTTAAAAGATTTAAGTATTGAAGGCGACGCCTCAGCCGACTGTGCCGTACAAAAGGTGCAAAATATGGCACAAATCATCATTAGACTCATCACTGATGGTAAAGCATACCATTCTTATAGACGATTCTTTCCAATCACAAAACATTGCAATGCAATGCAGTCATCAACCCTTTCATTCAAATATATTAGACAATTATTTATTCTCTCTCTCTCTCTCTCTCTCTCTCTCTCTCTCATCCTCTCAATTGTTATTAAAGTTTGCCTTCACTTGACTTAACATTTTGAGAACGCTTTTACAGAACAGACTTATAGTTACTCTTCTCTCCTGTTTAAACGACTTTTCTCTCTCTCTCTCTCTCTCTCTCTCTCTCTCTCTATGTCTGTCTGCAAAGTTTGTGTTCAAAAGTTGATTAGAAGTCCAAAACTGAAAGACAGTTCAGTAGTGCTCTTCAATGAAGTGAAGAGAGCCGGCAGTCTAGTACTCACTATACAATCCAAGTGCCTATTCCTGTGGACATATCTGACTGAATGAATGCCTCTAAAAATATTTGATTTACGAAAAAAGAGAAAAAAATTGCACAAAAAACTCGTCGAACAAGTTTTTGATACATCAATAGTCTATAAGAATACATGCAATCAATATCTAAGAACTGATGAGAGCTTTTGAAATGTTTGTCGAGTCTGAGAGAAGTTGACGACTAAATGCTAACTAAAGTTAGGGTCAAAGATATGTTAATTATTACCGCCGAAGAATGCAAAACTCTCTCACATCTTATGCCCTTATATATCAATAAGAACTTTCTTTATGGCATTTTTTAGTGACAATATTTGCGATTAGAGTTTGTTTAATGAAAGTCTTGGCAATAGTTTTACGCAAATAGCAGTTGTGTTATAAGTCATAACATTATATTGTTTTCTAAAATAACAACGAATTTATAATATATTCTGCGCTTATTTTTCTCATAAATTATTTCTTGACAAAAGTTGCAAAACATTTGTCGGATTTTTCATACAATCAGACAACTCATTGTGAAAAACTACTTTAAAAACTACTTATATGTCTATTAATTTAATATTATATTCACTTAAATTGAGTGAATCCTGAATATTACCATAGAATTGCAGTCAAATTGTATGAGAGAGAGAGAGAGAGAGAGAGAGAGAGAGAGAGAGAGAGAGAGAGANGAGAGAGAGAGAGAGAGAGAGAGAGAGAGAGAGAGAGAGAGAGAGAGAGAGAGAGAGAGAGAGACTGACTGAATGGATGTAAGAAAACATTTTCACGTAATAACAAGTCGTAAGAAAATCTCTGAAACACTGGATTTGAATAATAAAAGAAAAGTAAAAAGAAGAGAAACAACTGTTTTCTTATCGCTTCAGTCTTTTCCAAACTTTTTGTTTCAATTGTTTTGTTGTTTAGGGTTAAGAAATTCGGGTTTTATTTTAGTTCATTCGCTTTTAAACTCTCGGCTGAGATATGTATTGCGAGCCGAGTCTCAGTCGACATCCCATCCCCTAAAGCACTAATACCTGAATCACGAAATTGCATAACAACTCAAACATGTATTACATGTAAGGCTTCAAGACTTCGAAGCGCATCGTTCTTCTCATAGTTAGAGCTAATACTTCACTACACTATTCAAGTGCTCTAAAGGACAACAACCCAACCGCCCGTCTATCTCTCCCATACCTGTGCCCGTCTCTCTCTCTCTCTCTCTCTCTCTCTCTCTCCCAGCAGTCGCGAGCGAATGTAAGGAATAACTCAAGCGATTCCGTTTAGAGTCGGTGCAGCTTTTGTATCAAGTTTTGCCTTTTCGTACAAAAGTCAGTGAAGGGGAGGGGGAAGAGAGGGGGCGCGGAGGGCCGCCGCACCACTATCTCTGGCAGTAGTGAGCAGTGCTGAGCAATGACGGGAATGGCTGATGGTTTGGAGGGGAATCCCGCCGTAAAATGATGTCTGAGTATTGCGAAAATGAGTTATTCTCGACTGCCATGAGTTGTCATGCGATAAGTTATAGTGCCCTCAAGGATACCACTATTCACATACATATATACAGATAGACCATTATAATACCCGACCCCCACTCTCTCTCTCTCTCTCTCTCTCTATATATATATATATATATATATAATTTATTGAAATAAAGTAATAGTTATAATGTAACTAGGTTGGCCAACTCATAAATCTTTAATAGTGGACCTTTGCTCTAAAATCCGTCAAAAATAGTGGACAAATAGTGGACATGCTTTTATCGCGATGTTTTATATCAATTTTATCTATTTTTCTACAAAATTTCATCCCATATTTATAACTAGTTGTATTATTTAATTAAATCGTAAGTTATAAGTGCAGTTTACTTGTCGCAATGTCTAGGTTATCCAAGTTTTATTGTAATTTCTTCTAACCTCAGATCTATTAAAGTGACTTGTAAAATAATTATGGTGAAAATTTACTAATATTACTAAGTTATGTTATATAGATTTATAATTAAGTTAATATCATAGAGTTAAAAATAATGGACACTTATATGACACCAACGGCTTTCTATAAACCTAAATATTTCAATATACTGAAATAATACATTATTGTAAACTGCTTTACTATTATCTCATTATTCTCATATCTACTATTTATAAACAAATAACTACTTAAAATTTAATAATTATTATGGATAATAATAAATAATCATAATTTCTAATTAAAAAATACACACAAGAACTGATTATCAATAGTAAATTATGAATTATTAATTTTATAAGCAATATTACCGAAGATTTTATTATAATTTTAGCCAAATTATGTTAATTTTCTTGAAAATAAAATAGTGGACATTACAATGTCCACTATTGGGTCTTCAGTTCCTAGTGGACATAACCCCAAAATAGTGGAATGTCCACTCAAATAGTGGACAGTTGGCCAGCCTAAATGTAACGACAAAATCAAATTTTATTATCAAACTCTACATTAAAGACAATTATATTTACGGCAATTCTAGAGACGATTCTTGAGATTAAACACACATTTTTGTTGAATTGTTTCATTTTAGTATACATTAAATGAATACAATAAAAATAAAATGCATTATGTTTTGAGTACATTATATAATATTGTCGTAATAAATGAAATATGTGGGTTGGTTGTTTTATGTCCATGGTAATTATAGATATTTTATGAGTACCCGTTAAGATATGGCTATTATTATATACAAAGTAAAGTTATATGCTTATTATTGTTTGCCATTAAATATTTATTTAATCCACTTAATTCATTATATTTAGTAAATTCTTATTGTATTTTAACAAGATATAAATTATACTAATCATGAAAATACAATAGAATTAATACATATAAATATAAATTTTATCTTGATAAAAATTTTAAATATTTTTATTGTATATTTTATAATACAAATGTTAAACGATTTTAATTTCGTGTATGTATTGTATAAAAAATCAATATTTATTGAACAAAACAACGTTAACTAAAATTTAAAACTTTTATTTTTCTTGTCCTTAAAATCAAATGTAGGGTAAAATCCGTTATAAATATTTTCCAATAAAATTTGTATTTTATATATACAGGGATTTTAAATAAATTCCCATTATACTTGCTCAATCTGGTAACAAATTATCTAGTATATTAAATAAAGCATTCGTTATATCTAATACTTACCAGGATATAAAAAACAAATTAGTTGGATTATATTATGCAACAATTTTATAATGATTAATATTTAATAAAAAATATTTTAATTTCCGTTTACTAATGTATAAGTAATATAAATATTAAATATAATTTAGTGTACAGTATATGCCCTGTATATGAATATAATCAAATTTATACATTTAAATAAAATACTAGACTAAGTAAATGAATTACTGTTTTGCCATGAAATATATAAGTGACTTATAATATACACACGTTATATAAATTACATTAAAAATATTGTGATATATTTAGTCCATAACTTAGACTAATATTCTCGCAAATCTCTCATTACTTTCCATACATTAAACCCTTTTGGAGAGAATTCACTCAAACGTTAAGAATCTATATATTTCTTATAGAAAAGGGCACAGAATTCACAGAATATTCTTAAGTGTATTTAGTGTTTAAATCTCTATTTTCTCGCTTTGATTAAATTTAAGGCTTACGAGAGAGAGAGAGAGAGAGAGAGATTTGTTAAT